ATTGATATCCGTTTCTATTCACGATAACCTCCCGTGCTTTCAGTTCTTGGCTGTGAGTTTGATTGCTGCTTTTTTCCCACCACTATGGGTCAATCACCCACGTACTATTCACAACGTTGGTTTTTTTTGTAATGCAAGGAAAAACATCAATTGTGCCCTCTGGATTTTTCGCACAATTACTCAATTGACAAACAAGTTGGTGCACAGCGCCAACAAACATGTTACTGCCAATCTGTAAATCTACAACTACCGATTGTTGTCCCAGATACTGCCAGCCCGAATTTCTTAAGCCAGTTTGAAAGGATTTAACTCGTATCATGATCCTTTTAAAGGTACACAGTTGTCTGCAGATTGCCAAATTTGAGTGGTAACCATATTTTGTGCTAACCACAGTAACTCTATGTCGTAGATCTGGATCTTACGTTTACGGAGAAATATGATGAACAACCCTGTTTGTTTTACATATTTGGCCAAGGACTCCTTCCTGTTTGACTTTTTATCCTTTTCGCATCTTTCTTCTGATTGAGGGGTCTTGAATACTTGTGGGTGGGGTGGGGGTGGGGGAGGGGGATTGGCTGAAGTCCTTTGAGGCCCCATGTCATGTGGCATAGTGACTGGGGGGGGGGATTGAACCCCCTCCCAACACAAAAGAAAAAAAAGGTTTGGGAGGGGGTGGTGGGACAGAGCGGAGGGGATAACCGCGCATCGGTTCAACGCACTGAGCGCGCTCTCTGCACACGGCACGTTTGTGTCTGGGGCACTGTATGCCGATGAACTTTAAACCATCATCACGGCCGTCAGACAAATTGCATTTTGGGGGAAAATTTTTTTCAACCCCCACGATGACAAAATTCTAATTCCCGCCCCCCCCCCCCCCCTCCTCCCCCACCACCCAACTTAAACATCACTGGTGGAGACTTTCAAGTCTGTGGCAAACTGGTTGTGACCGACTGAACAGTCAAGTCATGACACGAATTTTGCACTTTCGATAAAAACAAGTGGCCAACAATTCCCTAACGGTGTCATATCCAATCTGAACCCTAGTTCATAAACGGCAAAAACTGCCTTTGGCATTTTCTGTCGGGGAAGCTTGTCTCCCGTGAACAATGGTCAGTTTTCTTTCTTCTCCCACGGTTCGCTGGCCTTTTTTGGTCTAAATTGAGGGGCCATAATTATTAAAGTGAGTGTTAAATACAGGTTCATAGTTAGTACCCAAAAGAGCAGGTGCTATGCTACTAAACAAAATTCTGACAAAAACGGTTGAAGTGAAACTAATTATTTAAACAAATTTCAACTGCCCCCAATCCATTATACAATACAGCCACACAGCAAGGTGTTGGGTTGGAGTAGGTACATGTCGTTTGGGGCAATTCCACGGTTACTCACGTTACATTTTTGATGTACTTTTGAGTTTCCTTGGGCTGTAATTACCTTACTGAACAGGTTTAATAACTGTTATCCCCATGGTAGACAGAGTAGACCCAGACCTACCTAAGCACCAAAGATGACATCCAGAAAAATGTGTTATGTACGATAAACAAGACGCACAAAATCGGTTACTCACGTTACGAAAATGTAACTATGATCTATGTGAGCCCAGGAGTAATTTTTTTTTATATGGGAAGCTTTTCAAAAAAAAAATTGATTTAGGCAATTGTGGAGACTGTTTAGTCCAACCAAGTTCAGTTGAAGGCTAACCTGTGGCACAAACCACATTAAACCCCAGCATGATTTACTAGGAACCATACCCATCTTGGTAAATACCAACACCATATGGGAAATTGCACACACATATTTCTGACTTTGATTCTGGAGGTGTGCCAACCCAATATAAAAGACTGTCAGTTTAGGGGTACTGTACCCATCCTGACAGATTCCAACAAAACATGCTGTTGGGGTTTGATGGGTTGAGTTCTGTTAGGGTTAAGTAAGATTTGAGGCTTTGCCTGGTGGAGATCCTAATGAGTGAAAGGTTTGCGGAAACACCATGTTGGAATAATTTCTCAACTAAGAGAACGGTTCTGAAAAGAACCAGAGTTTATACCTCTGGTTCTTTTCAGAACCATTCTCTGAATTGAAGATTAATCCCACATGGTATTTCCGCAAACACGCATACTGAAATTTGTATCCTTGTGGAGACATTTCTTTGTTCTCGTGTAGTAAAGTTTTCGAGTTTGAAAGCGAAGTTTCAAAATGCTCTTATTTTAACCAGAATTGGCTGAAATTCGGATTTAATATCCCTTTTCTAAAACTCTTCTATTTGCGACAAATCGACCCACCTTGGAAATTCCTAGTTTTTGAGTAGAATCCATACATCTATTTCGTGAAAACCTTGTGGAGACGTATTCATCTATAGAAATTGCCCTGTGGAGACGTATACAATCTTTTGTTCCCTATTGTGTGCATGTCTCCAGAGGGCACGGTGTATCAGATCCTTTCACTAACAAGCCACATTCCCGATCCCAACCCATTCACATGTAAATGTCATGCAGGCTTAAAACTACGCAGAAATCTATTTGGGATACCTTAATTTCCGAGAACAAATGTTTACAGTTTCAACAAACCGGATGGAATCCATGCAAGAACAGCTACAAAACTCATTAAATCCTAAAAAAAAACCAAGAATGGTGATAGTGATCGAACTAAGGGAATCACTACCTGGCAAGATGACTTTCAAAGAAAAAAAATACTGTTTACATGTTTTTGCTCGACATTTAAAAAAAAAATATGGTTTTGCAAAACAAATTGATTCTAAAGACTCCAAGAAAGCAGCCAAAGCTCATTCAATCTTAACAAGAGAAACCTTGCGTTGCATTCACGATTCATGGTCAGACTTCTAAAAAACAATCCGTGTTTTCTTACGTACTTTTTGGGCTGCCCCTTAAAAGGAATTTATACAACATTTGTAAACATAAAAAAAACCTACAAAAGTAATTATGAAATAACTTACTTGACTGTCAGTGAATGACAGTCTAAAGCATCCTGTAAAATCATGGCACCTGGTGTGCTGTCATTTTCAAGATTCAAGAAAAGTGGTATTTTTGTATCAATTTCAAATGCTGGTCGGCCAACCAGCGTTGGAAAAAAAACTGGCTTTTTTCAAATACTGCCCCCAATTTACCATATTTAGACAGTCCGCATTTTGTTTGCAATCCATTACACACCTATGAGTGGGTACGAGCCAGCTAGACTGGTTCCCTGATCTTACAATTCCCTGACCACTATAAACTGTTCCGTTTCATCTTAAGTGGGGTCAGGGAACCAGACTACAGGAACGTGATTGTTTTTCTTGGTTTTTCCAGCATCTACGAACGCAAAACTTCAAACAAGTCAGTGTAACAATATTTGCTGTAATATACTAACCCCCAAATCCATCCACTTCTGAAAATTACAGCGAATGCTAATGTTGTATATTCCCAGTTTAACCAAGAAGGGATGTCAAATAATTTACATACATTTAAGAGTCCTTTAGAAAGTTGCACAATATGTGTTCCCAAGAAAAAATCATCGCATGGACCCTTTACTTTCCCTCCTTCAGTTATATTTCTGGGGTGTGGGTTATTCAATACACTATGCTCAGAACATAAAATCTGTCCCGCCAAAATGTTCACCCTCGTAACCTTTATGAAACCGATAAATCATCACAGAGTCCCCCAAAAAAGGGTCAGAACCACGTCAAAAAGTTCCCCGAAATCCAGCCCCGCCAGGTCAGTTAAGCCCCGGCCCTATATCACTCATCCAAGCAGGACAAAGACGCCTTTGTTCACCGAAGAATGAGACTAGCCGCTTCTGGTCCGCTTAGGTAACAGGTTGCTACGGCCGATGACGTCAGTGAAGCATGACCATGGCAACGGTTTGTTTAAAGTATGTAGCCCTGGTTATATTTATAGCCTCGATCTTCAATACCGGCACTATTATGTACGGGACAGCGCCAGAACTTTTTTTGATATCTTACAAAACAAGCTCCAATGAACATAGGCCTATAAATCATCTCCCTGGAAAACTGTCACTGCCAAGGGGAATAGGGGTCACCTAGCAGATGGCTCAGCTTTTTTTTAATGTTTTTATTTTATTCTCCCCTTCTGATTACAGCTAAAAATATCTTGTAAGAATTCCAAGTTATTTATAAACGGTTTCTAGAGGACAGTCAGTTCCACCTGTTACTAGAAAGAGGGGGTTGTTGATCATTTTTTTTGAAGGGGGGGGGGGGGGGTGGCTGAACATTACGAAGGCAGAAGATAAGTGGCCTCGTACCACAAATGAGCTTGAAGTCGGACTTTTTCAGAATTAAGATATTTATATATCAAGATTCTGCAGAACAAGAGCTTTCCAATGGTAAGATAACATTAAGGGGTACGGAGTTCAGTAACAAAAATATAGACTATAAGTTGTAAAACTGATCTCCAGAAATTGGCATTTAAAATCCTACAGATGTGTTACGGTTAATGAATGACGACATTATGAACGAGGGACGAAATAGGTTTTCAAGATGTTTGACAGAACGAACAAAATTGGGGAAAAGTAAAACAGGTCTTACAGATTGAGATTCACCTGAAAACAAAAATCTGACCACCCCCTCAAATTTAGGAAATGTGATTTTTTTTGGAAATTTCGAAAGTTTTCACTCTAAAGGTATAGAGCATTTTGTTCGTCATGAAATGATTGTTTCAGTGATATTGACCACATTGATATACAGTATTATCCACCTGCGAACAAACACTTAAAAATCATTCATTTTTGGCGATGTATGACAACTGTGCATGCGTATTTACCATGGTACTGTCTACAAAGCAATGCAAACTCTTTCTTCAAGCATTAGTGAACCTGGATCTCTATTGTGTCGAGATTAGCGTAGCGAGCAACTGAGCAAGCTGGCCGCCAGGTACTTTCTATTGTTGCTTTCCAGTGTGGCGACCATCCTTTTACTTTTGAAGTCTTGGAGTTCGAACTCCTTGGGTCCTAGCTCTTTGCACCTATGTACCTGTTAAGTCTTTGCTTACCTGGGGAGCTTGTAGGGGGGCGAGGCTTGAGTGGAATGGAGCTGAGTCCCTGAGGTATCCTCCTGGGCAGTAAGGCCGGTGGGAAGGTACGTCTGGTGGGACTGACGGCGCTCATGGGAGGGTGTGGGTACATGCCCACCCTGCTGGAAGTACAAACAATCAAACCTTGCATCACTCTATTGTGACTTTTAACAAGTAAGTTTAAGAAATTGACTGGAGCGGGGTTTGAACCTGCGACCTTCGGATTGCCATTCTGGTGCTTTTCCAACTGAGCTATCCCAGGTTTGCAGCATTGCTAGCATCATGACTTGAAGCATGATCCCTGGTTACATGGCATTATCGTCGGGTGCCCAGAAGAAGGTCATAAGGGCGATAAATGGGTCAAAAGGTCAAATTCAGATTTTTCGGGTAATCGATAGAGCTTGGAAATATCCTTCATTTGATATTCAAATTGTCTCAAGGGGCTACCTCATTCTGATGTAATTAACAGTAAACAAAAGACAGAAGGAGGTTTTTTATTATTTGTGCCCGGCAAAAGGTCGCAAGTGAGTAATTCTAATGTAACAAAAAATATTTGAAGCGCCCCAACGTCCCACTCAAGTGGGTACGCAAAGCCAATTTTGTTCCCGGCAAAAGGACGTAAGGATTTACTTTGCCGCTTAAGCGTACGTTTAAGGCTTGGGAAGTTCCCGGTAAAAGGTCGTTAGCATAACAATTGAAATAACTTCACAATTAAGTAATATTTTGACATAAAAATGCACAATATTATATTAATTATTAACGAATGTCATCAGTCAAAAGTTCAACCTTGTGTGACTTTTAATCTAGGAATGGCAGCACAAAACCTTTCAACTCGATTATCTCCAAAAGTGCTTTTTGCCAGCCTGCGGGCTGCTTACGTCCTTTTCCTTGTCACACAACTATATATCGGTTTAGGGCTTCTGTCTAGCGCCCCTTGAACAAAGACACTGAAAAATGGGGAACCACCAACATAGGAGTGGATTTATCAATAGTGGAAGCGTTCTGCTGGAAATCCCCGCCCCTATTTATTACCTGTCTCGAGCGTCATCCAGGTTGCCCACAGAGTGCGTGGTGGGGTTGTGCGGACTTCCCTGCATGCTGTGCACCGGTGAGGGATGGTTGCTGTAACTGGAGGCGCCCGTGGCCGTGCCGCTGCGACTCGAGTGCGCACTTGAGAACATGTCTGAGGGACAATGATAAAATGTGATGCTTACTGGAGTGTCGCCTCACCGAGCACCGCTACACCCAACGGCTATACCGAACATCATCCTTGGCTCCCGATTTTTGTGTACAAAACATACTGAACATTGTTGTTGAAAAATAACAAAGTAGAGTGACAAGTGGCTATTATTTCCCCAAGGAATACATGTAGAAGGGGAAAGCCACCAGTTGCTGTAGGAGGCAAGCTCAAAAACTGTTTATTTATTTTAGTAACTACTAGGGCGTGCAGGGTGAAATTCTGTAGGGCGGTATTTATTGAACAGTGAGTAGTGGAGCACTGGCAGCTTCAAATCGCTATACCGAACGATCGCTATTACGAACAATTTCTGTGGATCCCGCGATGTTCTTTGTACCAAAATCTCAAGGCCCCCTCGCAATATTACCCCTGTTCATTAGGCCATGAGACAATTTTTTTCTGCAGCAGCTCAAGATCAACACAATCTGGTGTCTATCTGGTACTCATTAATACTCCTAGGTGGAGAGAGGCAATTGTAGTAAAGTGCCTTGCCCAAGAACACATGTTCATCTCAATTTTTCAAAAACAGATAGATTTGGTAGGCCATATTTCCTGCCTGTGACAACTTCATTAAACTGGACTCATGAGTGTTCAAAGAGTGATATCGAGTACAGAGAGTCATGCTCCATCAGATATACACAATATATTTGACACACTGATTGACATATTAATTGATATACACTTATTTGGCAACAGCCAATTTCAGATGTGACACCAGTCTCGCGCGAGTCTCACTCAAGTAGTACGCATGCACTCCAGGCTCCTTTCGCTAATATGGTTACCAAAATTTAAGTCTTTAAAAAGGTGTGCGAGATGCGCCCAGACGAGGTGCCACCTTAAAAAAATGGCTACGCAGCATTAGTCTATTGATTAATATTGATCGATGGCTATATTATTGATACACATTTTGATATTGATTAATATTGACTGACATTGATTGACTTCGATTGACAGTGATTGACACTGATTGATATTGATTGATATTAATCGACACTGATTGATTGACGTTGTTTGTTATTGATTGCTCCATTCATCGATAGTGACCGACAGATGTTGATTGAGTGACTAGCTACTCACTTGGGTACATATCGGAGGAAGTACCAGCCATGGATGAGTGGGGCGATCTGCCCAGCCCACTGTCGCTCAGCTCCATGGGGCTATCGGCAAGAGACATAGGATGGAGGGGTTGGATGGTCAGGCAGTCGGTGAGGATGTCCTGAGGGTGGCCAAACTCATCACGCGTCCGCAGCTGACAAACAAGGAATCGAACAAATAAGAGAACGAGTCTTAGCCTAAGTTGTAAATATATATTTCATTTTTCATCATTATTCAGCAATTGGCTGGGATAGGCCACAGAAGTCTATCGACTCATTTCCAGAGGGGTCCCTTGGTAGAAGATGTGAGAAGAAATTACAGTTTTAGTGGTCGGAGGAAAACCCGAAGCAATGAACGACAAAACCCACGGAGTCAGGTAGGGACTGAAAACCCAATCCACATCTTGGCCCAAGCAGGAATCTAACCCGGGTCACAGCGGTAGAAGACGAGCTAAGTACTGCTACGCCAACCTGACTCCCAATATTAAAGATGTGTTATTGTTGCTTTTTTCAAATTTTCTCCCTGAAAAATATTTTTTTTTTTAATTGCTACATTCCAGCAATACAAACGTTTTTCACTTTTGAATGAGACTTTGAATGAAAATAATTAGCCCTTGTTCAGTTATGGAATTATTTGAAATTATTTACCTTTTTCCTGGCTTGTTGATCTTTAGCCGTGTGGGCCTTGACGTGTTTCCGCAGTGAGCTTGGGTCTGTGTACCTCTTGGTGCAACCGGGTAACTGGCAAGCATAAGGTTTCTGGAGGGGGGAGGGGGAGTGGAGAAGAAAGAAATAAGACACACGGGTCAGATTTAAACATACAAATCTTGCTCTGGAGTGTTTTTGTAAAGGCCCAGTACTGGTCATTGAATCCTGCAAACTATACCCAGTCATTGGGAGGACTTTTCACTCCACACTTTTTGTTGGCTTGATCGTGAGCTGGATGGGAACTTCCTGTGAAATCAGATAACCGTTATTCAGTTTGAGAAAAATTTGGATAACCGGATTTGAAAATATCCGCTTTCTCCCACCACTAGTATACATGTACTACCTTCATATTAAGCACACACAGCCGCGCAACATGAGTTTCACCGTTTCAGAATAATTGCTTCCGCATGGAAATATGGAAATCGGAAACAGTGGCTAAAACAAAAACAACATTCTGATCCTTCCCAGGATGCAGTAATAACTATGACCTTTTGACCTCTCACGCTGGCATCAGGTGGTTCCTGACTAGGATGTGGTACTCTGACCCCAATCGTTGGAGACCCCTACCGTGACTCTCTCGGAGTCAGCAGAATCAAAAATCCGACCAATCATACATCATCATCCAAAGGTTCAAAAGCCACTGACATGTAACCAATTGGAAACGTCGTACTTGTATTGCACTGTGTTTGATCACTGATGAATCCATAAAAACCATAGAGTGCTTAGGCGGTTTCGGGCCCTACGGGGGAGTAATAGGCAGGGCGGTTTGGGGCAGTACAGCATGGTTTAAACAACTACAGAGGTGCACAAACACGTACATCGTTGCACATTTTGCTCCAAAGTGAGATTTAAACCTCAACATTTCTGTCGAGAATAGGAGTCTGTGTTAGCTCCAGCGTGGGGCTATCACTCCTGTGGACCCATTCTGACCATTTTTGGAAAGATGAGAGATTGACATCTATCACTTAATGTGCATTTTCTTTCTTGCATGTGAACATGTGCAAGTAAGAAAAACATCAGGAAAAGTGGGCCTCTTAGTCAGACGATCTACCAACTTTGCCCATTTGTCAGACCATGGGCATCAGAAAAGCATCTTCTTTTCAGACAATTGGTATAAGGAAAGTTGGGTGGACCATCTTAGTCAGAACATCTGCCAACCCCGCCCATTATTTTTCAAACAATGGGCATCAGGACAGCTGGGTGTTAGCATCTTAGTCAGAACGTCTGCCAACTCCGACCATTTTATTTTTCAAAAAATGGGCATCGGGAAAGTTGAGTGGAGCCTCTTCGCCAAAAATTACCAACCCCGCCCGATAATTTTCTTCATATAATGGGCATCAGGAAAGTTGGGTGGGGTCTCTGTCTGAGCCAGAAAATCTGCCAACTCCGCCCTTTTTTTTCAGACTATAGTAGGCAGTTCAGGTGATTCTTTAATGAAAGGGACAAGCACCTAAAATGAATACCATTTGACAGAGTGAGTCTTCATTAGAAGAAATCTTTTGGAATTTTTAAAATCGGTCATTGCGTTAGGGAGTTACGGGTAATTAAGTTTCGGAAAGTGAGGGATTTTTTTAGCCAAGAGGTCAAAGGTCATCCTTTGTTTTTCTTTATTTCTGTTTTGGCACCGAAAAGATAATAAGAGGAATGCTGTTCTTTCTTTTATCCTTGTAAACTAGTATCAGATTTGCTTGATATTTCGTTTACTCTTTATTATGAAAATATGCTTTTGAAAAGTGCAAAAAAAATTAATAATACTGTCCTAATTTGCATAATTAATTTACTAATTAGAGGAAAATTATGCATATTTTAGTGTCAACATAAAAAATTCAAGTCAAAACAAATATCGCAATGACATTTCAAACAAGTATTTAAATTTTGGCTGTAGGGAAAGCAACTAGATCTATAATTTGTACATAATTACCAAATTTGCATAATTTATCAGCTAATTATGTGAAAATGAGGAGAAAAACATTTCCGAACCTAAATTTGCTCAAAAAACCTATAATACACATGCATGCAAACAGTGTTGTAACAAATAGTTGCTCAGATAGAGGTGTTAAAACCCGACTCATTTTTTTAATGATTTAATTTGCATATTTACAGGTACATGTATGTGAAAATAGCCAATTTCACATCTTTTCTGGGAAAAGACGTGTAACAAGTATGCTGAAGAGGTTTTTCTTATTTGAATCAGTTTTGGGTCATTCACTGAAAATATATAGGGTATCTTTACTAGCTGTGAAATATTAGCATAATTACACATCTTGCATATTTAATTAGTCTTCTAAATACACTTGTACACACAACTCTAACTGTTATGGTTGTTTTGATGTTAGACAAACAATGGTAAATGGCTCACACTGCCAATTCAAACGGAACTCATCTTTTGTAAAATGATTTTGAGGAATGAAAATGCATTAAGTCTTCCAAAAAGCCTCAACTAATTTGTTAATCAACTAATACAATCAACACCTAATACCATACAAATTGATTCAGAAAAGGGGGAAAATGTAATGGTATGTGCAAAATGCCTATTTTTGCGGAGTAGGCCTATTGATGGGCAAACTCCATAACTAAAAGTGAAGTCAAACAATAATCAATTTGATTCTAACTAAACATTATTTTCCTTTCCCAGTACCCCTGATGAACTGAACATTGTTTTTTCTTTAAGTCGCCACTTCTTTACTTCATTACTGAAGCTCCATCCACAACAAAAGGCCTAACTGTTGAACTTTAACAATTACAGAGTGTCCAGTATGATAAGTTCCTTTTTCTTTAGATCTGTCAAAAGTGGAAAATCCCACTCCGCTTCTTCATCCCTATAATTAATGGAGTAGACATATGATTTGTTTCCTGTCGTCCAAAGTCTGGTTCAACGCCTTTGCTATCCATGGAGGATGAATCGTGGACTGAGGAATTGATGAAGTTTACCCATGAACAGATCTGTAGTGACTTCTGCGTACGGTCATAAAATCAGTGCAGTGGCAAAATCTACGAACGAAGAAAAAGAAATCAAAAAATAAATATTAACAAAACGTCCAAACAAGTTATAAACACAATGTTTGTTATGTTACTTAAGTACCGAGTCCATGATTTTATTTTCAATAAAAATGAATGACTCTGTCAGTGGTCAAGTTTTGAAAATTTTGTGTACTGAAATATGCCTGGAAAATTAATTTCAATCAATGCCAAAACTTTCACGCAAACAAACGTAGAAATGCTTCAAAACTAATTATTATTTACTGTAAATGAAGATATCATTTCAATTCATGAAAAAAAATTGAAGCTCGGAATAAACTTTGTCAGAATCGCACAATCTTCATTCACCCAGCTCACACAGCCCAATGCCTTATATTGGAACGTCCATTTCTAAACGGGGGTAAACATTTCGGTTAAATTGTTTTTAGAATAATCTACGTGCCAATTACGTTTAAATATGAAAGGTTTTTGTTCAAAAACTTTACAGGTGGTTTGATTGTTATTAAACTGATTTGTGATATCCATTTACTGGTAATCATCGGAAAATATTCAATCACGAAACGTCTACAAAAACAAATAACTCTGAAACGCCCCCATTCAAGGAATGGTATCGGCCATCGTGAGCGAAAACGAACAACGAAAGTAACGAGAGCAGAGCAATTTTTAAACTGTAAAAAAAGCGAAAATATCGAAATTAAATCAAGAATTACAGTCAAACCAATAACAGTACATTAATGTACAGTCATGAGAAAATCATCTTTTAAGTAGAAACCCGATTGAACGCATGGTTTTTGGCGTTAAAAATCTGTTGCAATTTTCCGGACGGCACGCATGCGGCTGACTGGACCACGTGCGCCGCACACACACACAACACGCGCCGCAGAATGAAGCTTCCGTGCGGCGTGGTCGGTGCACTGTGCACGGTCGCTGCCGCGTTGCGGTGTTTGCTCAGACTAGACCCTGAAAACCACCCCTCAAAGAACGGCGTTTCGCTTAAAATCCCTCCACCATATGACATTTATATTTTGATTTTCTAAATCTATAGTAAACACTAATATATACATACCTTAGTGCTTCACGATTCGTCCTCTCAAAATGTGAATTTTGACGGTCGGAAAAATGTAAACTTGGCGATCAAGTGGAAGCCATTGATCGATTTTCAAGCACTAAAGCCGAAAGATGCCGAAGGTCTTCTTCTCTCCGATGATGACGTATTCTAAGGGATTGGGCCAATAGGAAACTAGCGAATTTCGACCGAATGCGACCGATCTTAAAACCCGAGTTTGCGAAGTGGCCGAAAGTGCGTGCCACGGACTGTGTGTTGGCCGGAAGTAGCGGATGCCATAGGATTTGTACAGCGACGTGTGCGCTATGCGTGTAAAGGTATGTGAGCACAGATTTCGGCAGCGGAAGTGCTTGTGTGGCTGAAGTGCCTAACTATAGTTTATTCAGCAAACTGAAATCCTGAGGCTACTGGCGAGCCTGAGCTTCTCCATGATAAAACAGACTTGGGTGCTTGTAACTAAGGGGATATGAACAAGGGAACAAAGCCCCTTTTTGGGGGGTTTGCTGACTCCGCCCTCCTCTCTGGTCCCTGGCTATCTCGGATCTCGGAATACTTGAAGCCATCACTCAAAACTACCGTCAGCTTCCTGGGGAAATTGAGAGCAGTTACATGAACAAAAGTACAGGGAGATACAAGCACTTGTATGCATAGGAGAACAAAGTCCCCCCCCCCTTTTATGGGGGGGGGGGACCGGCTGACTCCGCCTCCTCCCTAGTCAAACGTCTCGGAATCCTTGAAGCCATCACTCCAACCTGCTGTCAGATTCCAGGGGAAATCGAGACCAGACACTGACTAATGGTTGAAACAGAGACTGCAGGAATGCAAGGGGTCAAGAACAAAAGGTCGGCCTAAAAGTTCTCCTTCGGAGCTCCAACTTGACTGGATGGGGATGTGTGATCGCTTGAACTCTCTAAGTCTGAGCATTACATAAACTGTCTGTGGCCATTTGACATGATTTCAGCTCCAACATTACTGTGTACTCCAAAGTTACGTTACCTCCGGGAGAAAAAGAAGTTATTTCAAAACTGCCACTGTAGTTACTGTGTAGATGAGTGAATGTCTTTGTTTTCCTTCTTGGAAACTTTGAAGCTCCAAGGGGAATTCATGATGTGTCTCAATCAAACTAACACAGATATGTATCTCCATGCGATTCTAATAAGAATAGATCAGTATGAACCAGGTCTTTGACACAACATTCAATTGCCTTTAAGCACACATTATTGGAAAAAAAATAATTCAAACTTTCCTGTTTGAATTCAAAAACTGCTGATAGCTTTCGATTCAAAGCATTCGTTTAAAAAATTATGATTTTCTGTATTTCAATGCCATTTTTTTCAAGGAATGTTATATTAGTTGAACACAAAGGAAAATCAGATAAAGAAGTAATAAATTCTGGAAAGTGGAAACACAATGTGAAACTTCCTTCCCCTCCCCCTCCCCTCCCCTCCCCCCCCCCCAAAAAAAAAATCAACTCAGATCCTTCCGGGCAGAAAACTGAGAAACAATTTTTAAAATTGTTCATTCCATGCCAAAAACAGATTGCTTGTGTATTTCGGTGTGACTTGACAAATTGACAACATTATCAGCCAGGGTATATGCCTATATGGATCTGAGGTCTTTCATCTTACAAGTACAGCATTAAAAAAGGGAAGGGGGGGGGGTGCAATATCATCAAGTACACCGTGAACCCTGAGCTAATCCCTGGAGAGCCAAATAATGTTCTCCTTTACCACTTGAAACCCTTAGAAACTTTCCCAGATGTAATGCATTTCACAGGCTCCGGAAATGGAAAATAACTTTTGGGAATTTTTATGTTGTTTTGACCATGTGCTAAAGGACACTCATCACATTTTTTTCCACTCCACTCAGCCTCCAGCATTCCTCATAATTTGTTCGGACAATGCCACTTGTTTTTTCCCAAAGATTTTTGTGGGTTTTTTTCCCGACAGATGACAGAAACAATTCAGATTAGAATCAAATTTGCCAGCATCAAACTTTGTTTTTGCTTTTACTTTTTACGGGTAAGTGCACTTTTAGCTGAATGATCTGTATTACAAATCATGGCCTTTTCAGGAGACCTACAAAAACTGAATTTGCTTTCATAGTGAGGGCAACGATGTTCAAAACAAATTAACCCTCCTGCTATCTGAACAGTCACAGACAGTCAAAAAATCAATCCTCTTCCCCTGCCACGCTTTTGTACAAAAGCTAGTCGCCAACAGTCAGATCATATTTCAAGCAAGCAATGTGACTAATCAAATTCATTCAAAAGACAAAAGCAGGCAAGTGGAAGGCACAGCTGGCTTATCAATCACCTACATGTACAGTCAAAGCATAGCTGTATTGAGGTACATAAACAGTCACAGCCAGTCAATCCTGTTTTATGTAGGCTGGGAGCTCTTAACTATTGAAAGCAGTCACTTGATTGGTTTTGACGGAAAGGACTACTTGGCACAGAATGTACATTGTTTGCATAGGAGGGCCAATCACACAAAGGTTTCAGTATATAGTTTGTATTAGATAATCAAAGACAATCAAATGTTTATGCTTGTTAATGGTTCAACAGTTGGCAAAGCTTACTCAAAATATCAGGGTCACTGTGTTGACTTAAGTAATACAATATTACAAAATTTTGAAGTTGAACAACGAAATTGACTGGAGCGAGATTTGAACCTGCGACTCTTGGATTGATGCTCCGGTGTTCTACCAACCCAGTTATCCAGCCCTATGTTGGCAGTTCCCTGTTTTGCGTATTTGTTCAAGGGGCCAAATTTCATTATAATTCAATATGGTGACTTTGCCAATGTTGACAATATTATTGGTTATTCGTTGATGTAAGTTTACTCTATGATTCAAAATTTGTATTACCTTATACACTTGCAGCTCATTCTAAAACTTTAACTTTTCACAAAATTCTTTGTTGGATTTGTAATAAATCTGGAATTAATTGGAAAAAATCTCAAATTTGTTCTATTTTCACTATTTCCCCGGCTTCAACTCTTATAAGTGTCTGTACCCCAGGGGAATATAGCCTGTCATTAAAGAAAATACCCCCTCTGGAACAATAATCACAAAACTTGGAAACAGGAGAATACTGTTTGCACTTGGTACTCCCCCCTAAAATATCCCTCACCATATTTATATATAGCTTGACCAATATAAATCAAAGTTGGAAAATACCACAAATACATCAGCTCAGATATATAGCCTGGGAGAAAAGGTATACATGTTCACCAAGTTACGATGTCTGGAAATAGTTTGACATGGAGAAAATATGCCAGTCTTGTGTTACCTGAAACAATCTTGGAGAGTCGTAAGATTTTTTCTGTCATGTCAGAGTTTCAGGGTGACGTGACATTTCCCTTGGGCATGTCACTGGAATTTGTCTGACCTTGATGAAGTTGTAAACCTATATTTAGTAAATCCTCAGCAAAAACAAAATAATGGTGGGCCGCAAAACCCACAAGTAATATTATTATTGTTTATTTTATTGAAGTTGAAGAAAAATTTGGCTGGAGCAGGGGTTTAGAACCTGCGACCTCGGAATTAAAGTCAGTGATTATTATTTGACTAATTGACATTGACGAATTATAGTCTTCGCCATTTACAGGTAGTCATTGACTTTGTTCAAGGGGCACTATAGTGATTCCTGTTTGCTATGTCCCCAGTTTGAAGCATTTTTGCTTATGTTGGTAGCATTTGTGACTTTGGGCATGATCCCTGTCTACATGGCATACATGTACATAAAGGTCTATTTAAGTGCCTCTCAAACGAAAAACATTGACGACATCCATAGGGCTGAATAGCTCAGTTAGTTAGAGCACCAGAACGCCAATCCGGAAGTCGCAGGTTCGAACCCCACTTCAATCGATTTCTTTATTCACCTAGTCAGTTTCCCTTGAGGTTTATTAAAAAAAAAAATCAAATTAGGTTTTGCCCTTTGATTTACATCACCCCGACGCATAAATTCCATCTTATAATAGTTTATGCGGTACCCGCTGCTATGTACATCAGATTTGAACCAGCCAACCGATCCTGTTAGCTCGGTGGTCGAGTGGTAAGACATCTGCACTAAAAAGCAGGAGGTCATGGGTTCGAGTCCCACCCGAGTGATTTTTCCAACTTTCACTCGGGAGGTAACACACTGAGTAAACAAGTGTCTATACGTCGGTAAAGGGCAAAACCTAATTTGATTTACATGTACATCATCCCGACGCATAAATTCCATCTTATGAATATAAAAAAGAAATTAATAATAGAACTGAGCTGCTTCCTACAAATAAATTCAGGTCCCAAACCTTTAAAGTTAAATCTTCACAAGTCAATCACATGCCATCCAGTCTAAATTCAAGTGACTAATGTTGTGCAAACCCGACCCGAAACGGACCCGACCCGAAACGGACCCGACCCGAAACTGACTTCAGTTCGGATCGGGTCGGTTTTTCCATAATTTAAGTCGGGTCGGGTCGGTTTCGGTTTTGCGTTTGCAATTTCCATATTGAGCAAGACGTCCGCCTGCAACTTACCGTATCCAGATGAGTTCTCTGATGCTTGGCCCTATCTGATGAGTTACTGAAGGCCTTGGTGCAGCCTGGATGCGTGCAGAGGTAGGGCTTCTCCCCCGTGTGGGACCGCAGGTGGATCTTGAGGTTCTCCAGGCGGGAGAAAGCTTTGTTGCAGCCTTCAAACTGTGGAATGCATCAAGAAGAAATGGTCAAAAGATATTCATTAGGTAGGAAGTGCTGGCCGCGAAATTTCTTTCCCCAAACGAGATCGGACAATATCAAAAGAGGGCGCTCTCTCTGCGTTATGCATATTCATGATGTCCAGCAAAATTAAAAAATAAGTTATACAACAAGGAATAAAAGTGTTTAAATCACCGACGATTGGCAGCTCATTTGTGGACTGGTTGGAAGAAGTCCTGACTTCTAATCAGGTGATCCGAGTTTGAATCTCAGTGAGCGTTTTTCACTTCTCATTTTACCTTTTAAATAAGTAAAGAGATGAAGGCACATTTCTCACAAGACGTACGTAAAGCCTATCTTGGGGTTGTGTTATGGAGAACAAGGCATTAGATATGCATGCAATGGACCAATCAGAAGATGGAAAGCGGATGTCGTTTGGGAAAAAAAGATTCGCGTGCTGGCCAGGGCAAGTGCTGGGGAGTTGGGAGCAACAATCCTAGAAGGCAAAGTGGAGAGGAAAAGATCAAAAGGCCAACCCAAAGCAACCTGGGTAGACAACATCAAAGACTGGACTGGACTCAGCATCCACACGGCTGTGTGACGTCCCAAAGATCGCCAATACGAGACGTAGGGCAAAGTTGGTTGCCATATTGGTGTCCCATAATGGTGTTGGAATTTGCCAGGATGGGTATGGTTCCTAATAAATCATGCTAGGGAGTTAGGGTTAATTAAGATTCATTCATTTGCAATGGAAGTCCTAGAGTGTTATTGTACAGCAAGGAAAGTCTGCTTATGTGACTGGGTCCGCTCACCGTATGTTTGGTCTGATCTACCCATATTTTCAACCAAATAAGTAGGCCCCTACTGTGAAATACGTTCAACTGTTGCAAATTCGTAGCCTGAATACTTGTTGTGAGGGTCGTAAGTTTGTGTTCGCATTTGCTTTCACACTGAGTCATGAACCACCTTCACAAAATGACAACCATGATCCCTCTAACCTGGGCCCAATTTCAAATTCCTGGGCCCAATTTAAGCACTATCTCACGGCATGGACGTGCTAACAGTCACGCGTGCATGGAGATTTCTATTGTTACGTCACTAAGTTAAGCAAAATTTTCCTCTGAAGTAAGCATGCCTTTTGCTGTGCTTATGCTTATGGTCTCCATGAAATAGACAGAGGCTCTAGTTAGCAGAAAATTGTGTACTTAGCAGCGCCTTGAAATTGGGCCCTGGTAAGAGGGGCAAAAAAATTACATCCATCTGGCAAACTGACAAAAAAATTAGAACGGTTCTGATAATTGCCTGATGGCTTTACCAGACTCCGTCTGACAAAAAAATGTGTCTACCGTTACTGCCTAGATATGCCTCTTGCATTACTGCCTAGTTATGATATCTGTGCCTCTTGCATGTGGAACTCATTTACACCGTCGTGTCAAAGGTCACCTTGACAATGGAGGACACAGATGACCCTGGTTGACCCAGCAAGAGTGCCCAGCATCAATGCTTTGTAGTTGAGGTCGAGGTCGGTGGGGTCGTGTTCTTAAGATGCCAGCTGGAGCTGATGAAACAGACAGACTGGGCCAAGTCTACAAACAATGCGACACCGAGAATGTTGGAGCTTGCAAACAAACAATGGCCAGATAAGTTGGCACCCTGCCCTGTGTTTTGGGTTAGCAATTTTTGGAAGGTAGCCACAACTTTTGGAAGACCGCAGACGTAATAAAACCCAACCTCCTGGTGTAGAGGTGTTATTTCGGGGCAGGGTTTACTCCTGTGCCAAATCTAGGTTTAAAGGAATGCAGTGTTGCAATTGACTGTGACAGCAGCTCGGTTGGGTGTGGTTTGGTAGCACTGTCAGTCAGAGGGGGAGTGGGATGCAGGGGCGAGGTTGGTTTGCTGAAGGGGCACATTGTCCTGAAATCACCACAACATTTACTTGAAGATTGTTTACTTATCCTATTTCAAAGGTCAGGGCCCAATTTCACGGCGCTGCTAAGTACACAAATTTGCTTAGCACAAAAAAAGTCTGGCAAGTATAAAAGCAGGTTACCAGCCAAATTGTGATTTTCATGCATGTGATTTTCATGCTAAGCAAACAACAGCTGAATACTAATCACGAGCAGTATATATCACGTGGAGTTTTGGCTGGTAACCTGCTTTTATAAGCCAGACTTTTTTTGTGCTCAGCAAATTTTTGTGCTTAGCAGCGCCGTGAAATAGGCCCCTGGTTGTAAGGGAACTAACCTAATGTCGCACTGTTCCTGGAAAAAACAACAATCTTAATGGAACTGCAATCCTTGGAAATGCATCTTTGTGTTTCCTATTTTCAAATTTCATTTTGCCAGTTTCAAGGGTATTATTATTTTCTTAATATTTAGGCTAATGCAAATTTCCATATTTATGAGCAAAAGTGTGATATCATTTTAGGCAGAAACGTGAATGCGACAGCTATTTCACTTTTCAGTACCAAAAGCTGCCAGAATTTTAGATATTTTGCTGTGGTAAATTTTCTTTGCTTTGGTGATTCGTTATGTCAGCACATGGCAGTAAGCCAATGAGCAAACTTTTCTCAGAATTATTTTCAGTGAGCTAAGTTTGGGTTTCAGAATTTGAAGTGAAAACCCCAAAACTGAACAGTGTCTCCCGGACATGACATGACATCAACAGCGCCCTCAGTTGTCTGGAAAAGCATGGACAATTTTAAATTTTTAAAGAAGCACATTTTTCAATAAAATGTACACAAAAGGGATTTCAAATACATTTGTAGTTTGAAGTTGCACAGAATATGTTCCTAAGAAAACTTCATATCATGGCCCTTTAAAGTGGGTGATGGGTGGAACCAATAACACTACATAGATTGAGAGGAATGTTGTTTTGTCCAGTGTGGGTTTTGTGGGTTGAGTTGAGGTTTTCAAAGGTGTCAAACGGAGGTTTAAAGTCAACTTAATACGTGTACATGTTAAAAAAAAAAATTGGGGGGGGGGGGGGGGGGACTAAAACAATTTTTTTTACCGGAGCTCCAGAGCAACACAGGGTCTATAGCTACAGAGAATGCACAAAAAGAGCACTATTACAAATTCCCTATTGCAATTCAGTAACCCTTTGACTCAAAAAGAAAAATGAAAATGATTTGGCTTTTGCTGTAATTTTCAGAAATGAACTAGTTGAGGGGTTAGTATAATAGATCAAAATGTTGTTACACTGACATGTTTGAAGTTTTGTGTTCGAAAATGCTGGAAAAACCCAGAAAAAAAACAAACAAATGTTCAAGTACTCTGGTTCCCTGACTCCACTATTATGAAATGTATCAATTTATAGATGCCCATTCATGAACATGTAACCAATAGCAAAGAAAATTTGGACTGAAAAAAAATTGTAAATTTGGAGCAGTAGTTGAAAAAATAGGTTTTTCCAACGGTGGTCGGCCGACCACCATTGGAAATTTATACAAAAATACCACTTTTCTTGCAAATGACTTCACACCAGGTGCCGTAATTTTACAGGATGCTTTAGACTGTCATTTACCAACATCCTAGTAAGGTATTTCGTAAAAATTTGGTAATTTTGTTTTTCGATGTTTGCAAATGTTGTATATTCCCTTTAACAAAACTTCTTAATAATAGGTTTTTTATCCACAAATCTGCAAATATCCAGGAAAATTTCATAAGTACTCCTCATAGAAAGATGGTGATAGCGTCACAGACTGTAAATAACCAACAATACTTTGATCAATTTTGTTTATGACTCTAAAAATGATATCAGTTTTCCATGATTGCTGCACCATCGTTGAGCAGCTTAGCTAGGCTTCTAACGTTTGGCACTACTGCCAACAAGTATCGTTTCTTTTTTGTTTAGTTTATGAAGATCATGAGTGACATTTAGTGGTTGGGTTTTTTTCCCAGCCCAGTCCGGTTGCATTTCAATCCTGCCATTTATGAGCGAGTTATTTACATCGGTGGTTAGTGTGGGCAGTTTATACTGGGTGGCTCCTGGCCAATTTGTCAGCTGAAGTTGCTCTGGCCTTTTTGCGGTTTATGAAATCAAGTTTGCTTTTGTGGCCAATGATAGCAAACTTAGTTGCAGAAGTTTCAGGGTATCCGGTTAATAAAGGATTAAGGGAATAAATATGTGCTTGGCCGGTATTAAACACTGTTTAAGACCGGTTGGAGTCTGGATGCTGACCATTACCCGAGCCGAATTCATAAATACCTTTTCGGTTAAAAATTCAAAACCTTTCGGTCAAAAAGTCAAAAGAAGTAAACAATTTTAAATTTCCAACAATTTTGTTCAACAGTTTTACTTCATTTTTTTCGCAACACGCCTCTCGCTATGCTATGGTATATGGCCCTCTTGTGAGAAGTCGTAAACAGCTCCTTATATGGAGATTGGCGCACACGTCGCGTGTACTGCGCGATGTGGCGCAGAACCCAGCTGTGCCGGTGTACATGTAGTGTGAATTTAGACTATGAAATACTTACTCACTGGCACATGACGGGCGCTCGACCAATAGGAATGGGTAAATTGCCTCAGTTATTTATGAATGAATTATAAAGTATTGAATTGAAATGAATAATAGGGACACAACCAATTTGGATGTCATTGATTGTCATCTGCACTTGATTTACAATTTAGTTGTAAGCATTGTTATTGTTTCAAATTTCGCCCAGTCCCTGAAACTGCAATATGGGTCACATCGTTCACCTTGCATATGAACAACTCAAGAACTGACAACAAGTTGAAATATGCTGGGAAAAAAACAACACAGTACAAGGAAAATCCAAGCAACAAAGTTTGAGCAGAGCAGTTGTTGTTTGCAAACAGGACTATTTCTGCTGACTTTGTGTTTCATCTGTCAGACAGACACAATTTATGGTCGCTGGGATGAAAGGCTAAATGGCCAATAGCCTCGGGTTTTTGTTTTCGATTTGGGGTTTTTTTTCCCAGGGAGCATTTTTTGGGGTGTAAACAGGGGGTGTGAATTGAAAGTCCCCAGAGGTAAAGCC